GGGTCCATTAGTGCTTACAGAGCCTGATTGATTTGCTGACTGTTATAATAGGCATTACACAAGTATAAATGATTCCCCCTGCCATGAAGTATTTCTAATTGCACAGTGAGAAACTTTCTTCTCTCACACTGGTCTGTAAGTGGCCAAGGCTTACTGAAAAAATGCAGTCTTGTTGTGTTGGTGCCAGCTCTCCTCTTGGCTTATTTACCCTGGAAGTCATCTGTCTGCAGGTACCGTTCAGTGCTAACAGCACCCTGTCTCCTCGCTGGTGTAGCTCTGTGTGTAGCAATGATGGTACCTGACTGTCCTGTACTGGTAAATTATCCTTCCCTTTCCAGTGCTTCTGGGACATTCAGCCTATTTGAGGTGCAGTGGTGGCACGCTGAAGGGTGCAGCAGCAATGTGGAGGAGGGGGTGGAGAACTTCTTTTGTAGCACGTCGTGGTCTTGTTTCGCCCACGGCCCACTGGAGTCATCTGATGGAGCTCATGGAACGCTGTGCAAAATGTCAGGAGAATTGAAGTCTCAAGGTGGCGTGATTCACCTGCGAGGGGCTTTAGTGCCGTGAATCATGCCTGTCAGAAATTCTGAATGCTTCAGCGTGGGGCTGCTTAACTCTTGGCCTTGAGAGTTAACTCTGCATCTCTCTGCTCCCAGCAACATCTCAAGCCTTCCTCACCACAACTTTGCATTTTCCAGTGATGCTCCATATTTTTGCACATGCTTCCCTCTATGCTGGGGACTCTTGAATGTCTTACGTGCTGCAGTCTTCCCCCCAGGGCATGCTGAGCTGAAAACAAACCTGGGGTAGTGAACTGCAGGAGGGAGGTGGCCAGGAAGAGGAAAGGCTGTGATGGCAGCAGTGTTGTAACACAATAGCTGGGGCTGCTCTGGGCTGATGCTTGTTTGAAGTTTGGGGGGGTTGGCACACGACTGCAACTTAGAATCATAGAATCACAGAATGGTTTGTGTTGGAAGGGACCTACAAGATCATCCAGTTCCAACCCCCCTGCCATGGGCAGGGACACCTTCCACTAGACCAGGTTGCTCCAAGCCTCATCCAGCCTGGCCTTGAAGACATCCAGGGATGGGGCATCCACAGCTTCTCTGGGCAACCTGTCCAACTGCCTCCCCACCCTCTCTGGGAAGAATTTCTTCCTGATATCCAATCTAAATCTCCCCACTTTCAATTTAAACCCGTTACCCCTTGTCCTGTCACTACAGACCCTTGTAAAAAGTCCCCCCCAGCTTCCTTGTAGCCCCTTCAGGTACTGGAAGGTGCTATAAGGTCTCCTCAGAGCCTTCTCTTCTCCAGGCTGAACAAGCCCAACTCTCTCAGCCTTTCATCATAGGAGAGGTGCTCCAGCCCTCTGATCTTTGTCATAGCAAGGCCACAAAAGTACGATTGTGTCTTTTGCTTCCCCTTTATCAGGCAGTTCAGTTTTGTAGGCAGGTAGAGCAAGACACACTAGGGCTGAAAAAGGCAAACAAAGTCACCATCTCTGTGTGGTTTATTTGTTCTCTGTGGTGGTGGCAGCAATGCTTATTTAATGTTTGCCAACAGCACACACAGGAGTCCAAGTATTTTGGGAGTCTTTGGGGATCTACAGGTAGAGAGCAGGGGACAGACTCTGGTGCACAGAACTTACTGCCTAAACCATAATAACTCCCTGTGTTCCCTGCAGTGAAGTTAGGGTGGGACAGTTGAGATGGGACCTGTGAGAGCACGTCGCCAAGTAGACAGACATGGAAACAGCTTTGTTTTAACGAAACACTCCCTGGCATGGGCTTCACTGTAGGTCACTGTCAGTGGTAGTGGTGGTCAGCAGGGGAAGGCACTGTGTGAGTGGCTCCTGCAGGGATTAGGGGAAGCATCCTGAACTATAATTCATGACAAGGATTGCAGAGAGCAAGCTGGGCTTGAAATAGGCCTGTGACAACTTTGTGTTGCCACAGTTGATATTCCCGCACAGGAATTCAGTGGAGGTTTGAGGAGAGACAATGATACACACATCCCCTTCAGCTGTGCTCCCAGCTGTACTCATGGGTGCATGTTTACGCTGAGGAATTGCGTGTCTTTTTCAATAAAAGCTAAACAGCAGTAATACTCTTTTTTCCTAGGGTCTTTATTTTCTCTAAATGGGAGAGGACGCTTGGAGAGGAGTTTAGGCATCTCTGCTCTTTTATTGTGGTTGTTTTTTTTCTCTCCAGTCTCTTCCAAGCCAGGGACCTGTGTGAAAGTGCTGACGATTGAGCCCACAGGTAACTGCCAGTTGCAGGAAGATCTGGCTCTTCTAGCAGACTGCGCCCTGCCAGCCGAACTGCGGGTAGGGAGCATTTATACTACTTCTGGTCTGCGTGGGGCTGTGATACGTGTTTGGTCGCATTCTCTCCATTTGAATTTAGTGCTTGCTTGTTTGCTGGTGCTCTAAATGCTGAAAGCCTTAAGTGCTTGGAAATGCTGTAAACTTGTTTCATGAGGCTGTCAGTGCTGGTCCTTTCCCTTGGATTTTTCCCCCAGCAAGGATCTTTATAGACAAAACCCTTGCTATGCAGTTGGTGGGGATTTCCCTATTGACTACAGTGGGACAAGAGTTGGCCCCAGCTCTTTTTCCTTCTCTCTGCCATCCTTCTGGAGTATCAGAAATGTTTTACCAGCAGGCATTGGTACCCAGAGGGACGTATAGATGGCTTGCTTGCTAGGAACTGACACCCTGCAGTGAAGAGGTTCTTTCAAATCCTAATTTTTTTTCCAGCAGG